ATAAAAACAAACAAATGTAACGAAGAAGCACAAAAAGGCATACATCAAATTTAACATCCTCATTTTGCTTATATTATACGATTTTTTTTTTAAAGAGGATTACGCTGATACACGAGACAAATTTGATAAATTGCTAAGAAAAGCGGAACGTGAATATAGAAGTGCGAAAGCTTCGGACTTTGAATCAATATCCGTAAATAATCCGAACGAGTTTTGGGAGAAAATAAGTAGACTTGGACCTAAGGGGGATACATCTATTCCAATGGAAATAATTGACGATAACGGGAATTCTGTACGAAAAGAAGCTGATATTCTAGAAAAGTGGCGAACGGATTTTTTCAACTTGTATCATGGTGGAAATAGTGAACAGTTTGACAGCGATCATTATAATCGATCAAAAGAGCATAAAATTTTACTAGAACAAAATATGAATGACCCTTTATATGAACCAAATGAATTCACTAACGGTAACATTACACGTGAAGAAACCAGTGACATAGTGATGCACGCTAAGAACAAATCTGCCTGTGTTCATGATCAAATACCTTATATTGTTTTGAAGAATCCCGTAATAATAGACGCCTTGCATAATCTTTTCCAGTGGATTTTCGATACTAGTACTATTCCGTCGATCTGGCAAAAGTCGATTATTTGTCCTATTTTGAAAGACTATAATACAGACGCTAGAGATGCTATGAATTATCGAGGTGTTAGTTTGTTATCATGTATCAATAAATTATACAGCGCTTTAGTTAATAAGAGGATCGTGAACTATTTAGAGAACAACGACAAATTAGTTGACGAACAAAACGGCTTTAGGAGAAACCGTTCGTGTGAGGACCATATTTTTACATTGAATAGTGCAATTCGAAACAACGATAAACTTTTTGTGGCTTTCATTGACCTAAAAAAATGCTTCGATTTTTTTTTACAGAGAAATGATGCTTTATAAACTGTTAGTTAATAATATAGATGGTAAAATTTACAACTCTATAAAGAGCATTTACAACAGTTCCGAATCTTGTGTTAAACTGAATGGAAAGTTAACTGACTGGTTCCCCTGTACAACTGGTGTAAAACAAGGAGACAATTTATCGCCTACATTATTTTCAATTTTCATAAATAACCTAATAGATGAACTGAATGAATTGAATATTGGCATTGACATCTCGGACAGGAAATTATCGGCGTTACTTTATGCAGACGATATTGCTTTATTGGCTAAAAGCGAAGACGATCTACAATTGTTGTTAAATAAGCTCGGGGACTGGTGTAAACGCTGGAGGTTCTTAATCAACACCAATAAATAAAAATGTGTTCACTTCAGGAAGTCAAAATGTTAGCAGACTGATTACAATTTCATGATCGGAGGAAATCAACTCGAAGTTGTTGACCAATACAAATACTTAGGTGTTATATTCACATTTAACGGAAATTTTACCACAACCGCCGAAGCACTGTCAAAAGGGGCTGGTAGAGCACTTGGAAAAATAATTTCTAACATTCACTCATTTAAAGAGATTGGAATAAAGTCATTTGAAAAACTTTTTTATTCGTGTGTTGTGCCTATACTAGACTATGCATCCGGAGTTTGGGGGAGCCGAAAGTTTCAAGCCATAGAGAACGTCCAGAACCGATCTATACGTTACTTTTTAGGAGTTCATCGTTTTGCCCCACTTCTTGGTATTTATGGGGATATCGGATGGATCCCGTGCCACTATAGACATTGGACTAATATTGTGCGTCTCTGGAATAGACTTGTTCAATTTGATGACAATCGCATTACAATACAAGCTTTCAATCATGACTATGAAAGATGTAGAAATAATTGGTGTTCTGATTTCAAAGACACTCACGAAACTTGGTATAGTGGAATATTTTGAGCGCAAGGACGTTATAAGTATGACTTTGTTCGAATCCATCTTGAAGGAATACTATAACTGTTTATGGAAAAACGACATTGTGAAAACCCCAAAGTTGAGAACTTATGTAAAGCTAAAGGCAAATTTTGGAATGGAAACTTATGTTAAATTAAATTTGAACAAAACTGAACGATCTTTCCTAACACAACTGAGATGTGGAATTCTTCCTTTGAGGCTAGAGACGGGTAGATATAACTGCGAGGAACCAAATGAACGCTTATGTGAGTTTTGTAACAGCAACTCCACGGAGGATGAGTGTCACTTTATTCTCCGCAGCTCCTTATATAATGACTTGAGACAAAGTGCTTTTAATAATATCTGTTCTGGCAATGAATTACTAAATATGACCAACGATGAAAAGATTTCTTTTTAATGACAAACTATCATAGAAAGCTGGCTAAGTATACAGTGAAAGCTTTCTGGCATAGACGTGTAGTGTTATATACATGAAAAGCTTGATAAACAGTATATTGCAATTTCAATTTTGATCATGTAGTTGACAGTAATGAGTGTAGTTGACTGTAATATTAAAATGTAAAAAGGTTACTTCATGGTCAATCTGAATATTTTCCGTTTCTTTATCATAAATATTAATTTATTATTCATTCAACTGGACATTTACTAAGTCGATCTTTTAATTATTTAATTTTTATTTAATTTTCAATTCTTCATTATGAATTAATTATTTTGAATTTAGCTTAATCTTTTTTCATTATTTTGTTTGAAATCCGTGATAAAAGAAATACGTTTTATGATTTTGAAAGTGACTTATAGACCCAATGGGTCGGGTGTATTTTATTGTTTATGTAATATATATGTATTTTGTTAAACTGTTATTACACATGTCACTATAATAAAAATTTACTTACTTACTTACTTACTTACTTACTTACTATATAGTAACACCAATTATTATACTTCAGTAATCATTTTCTATATAAAATAAGTACACAATGAACTATTTGACCGGTCAATAGTTTCCAATGATGAAAAACCATTTGACCGCAAGCGTCATTATATTTCGCGGAATTTCAACTGCAGCTACGGGATTGGAGGATGTTGAGAATACCGCGGGAGTTACGACGTCGCGTTTTACCTATCGTATCTAGGGATGACGTCAGTGCGGGACGTAGCCGTAGATGAAGTAAACGTTAAACAGTATGGTTGTGTTTCTGCCTTTTATATTACGATAGTTGATTTAGCCCCGACATTTATTGTCTGTTGTCTCTTTCGGTATAATAAAACACTTACTGACTGGATATTCGTGGAATTGTAAGTTTATTGTCCCCTCGGATACAACTATTGCCCTCGGCTACGCCTCAGGGCAATAGTTGCACCTCGGGGGACAATTAACTTACTATTCCACTCATACCCAGTCAATAAGTATAAATTGTTCAGTTACTGCATTGTCCACAATAACTAGTAACACCAATTATTCTGTTACTGCATTATCCACAATAACTAGTACCACCAATTGTTCAGTTACTGAATTGTCCACAATAACTAGTAACACCAATTGTTCAGTTACTGAATTGTCCACAATAACTAGTAACACCAATTGTTCAGTTACTGCTTTGTCCACCATCACTAGTAACACCAATTGTACAGTTACTGCTTTGTCCACAATCACTATTAACATATATTGTTCAGTTAATGCATTGTCCACAATAACTAGATATATATATATATATAGTAACACCAATTGTTCAAGTACTGCATTGTCCACAATAACTAGTACCACCAATTGTTCAGTTGCTGCTTTGTCCACAATTACTAGCACCACCAATTGTTCAGTTACTGAATTGTCCACCATCACTAGTAACACCAATTGTTCAGTTACTGCTTTGTCCACACTAACTAGTAACATCTATTGTTCAGTTACTGCATTGTCCACAAAAACTAGTGACACCAATTGTTCAGTTACTGCATTGTCCACAATAACTAGTAACACCAATTGTTCAGTTACTGCATTGTCCACAAAAATAAGTAACACCAATTGTTCAGTTACTGCTTTGTCCACAATAACTAGTAACACCAATTGTCCAGTTACTGCTTTGTCCACAATAACTAGTAACACCAATTGTTCAGTTACTGCATTGTCCACAATAACTAGTAACACCAATTGTTCAGCTACTGCATTGTCCACAATAATAAGTAACACCAATTGTTTAGTTACTGCAGTGTCCACAATAACTAGTAACACCAATTGTACAGTTACTGCTTTGTCCACAATAACTAGTAACACCAATTTGAATTGTCTACAATAACTAGTGACACCAATTGTTCAGTTACTGCTTTGTCCACAATAACTAGTAACACCAATTGTACAGTTACTGCTTTGTCCACAATAACTAGTAACACCAATTTGAATTGTCTACAATAACTAGTGACACCAATTGTTCAGTTACTGCATTGTCCACAATAACTAGTAACACCAATTGTACAGTTACTGCTTTGTCCACAATAACTAGTAACACCAATTTGAATTGTCTACAATAACTATTACCACCAATTGTTCAGTTACTGCGTTGTCCACAATAACTAGTAACACCAATTGTTCAGTTACTGCATTGTCCACAATAACTAGTAACACCAATTGTACAGTTACTGCATTGTCCACAATAACTAGTAAGATCAATTGTTCAGTTACTGCATTGTCCACAATAACTAGTAACACCAATTTGCATTGTTCACAATAACTAGTAACACCAATTTGCATTGTTCACAATAACTAGTAACACCAATTGTTCAGTTACTGCTTTCGTCAATATGTCATAATGTGTTCGTTCAATAAAAAGCTGAAGCTTCAAAATGGTATCTAATGCATAAAAAAATAGCAAATATTTATGATTTTCGAACTTTTATTATCTTTTTTTCTTTATATGTTTTACATATCTTTTTTTGTCTTAGTAAGATTGAATTATCATTTAGACTTTTATTGTCATGCATGAAAATCAGATTTCACTAACTCTATACCACGACCACATCAATTAATTCTCAAGCATTGTCGTTACATCTCAAACTGTTGCAATCAATGTAGACATTATAAAAAAAATCCACTTAGATATTTCACTTTACCTCCTGTGCTCTTTTTTCTGACCTGCAAGCAATAATTACAGATGCCCCCAACATTGCCATCCATTTTGCTGTCTCATAACCAATACCTACAGAAATACAATATATTTGTGAATGAGAAAACCAACGAACATACCATCGATTATAGAGGTAAAAGACACATATCTTTTGTTAGTCCACTGTTTAAGATTATAAAGAGGGAGGGTTGAGTTCTAAAAAAAAAAAAACGATTATCCAGCCTCGTGTTCATATACCTGTCCCAAGTCAGGAACCTCGTCAATGGTTCTTTTTCCTTGTATCTGAATGTGTGGTTTTTTTGTTGCTCTCTCATGGAATTTGGTGTTGATGGAAAATTTATAATAGTTTCTGTTACATTTCGGCACTACTTTTCTATACTTAAAAGTTTTTTAGAGCCTGACATATTGAATAGACCACTGCCTATTTTAATTAATAACGAGAAGTTGGTGCACCAGCATCTTAATATAGATTAGTCCTCGGCTAGGTCAAACTTTAGAACTATCATTTGCCTTTTCTCCTCTAAGCACGCGATACTTAGGAGTAAGGTCAAAGACCGGTCGGCTCGGTTCGGAATGATGTGTCTGAGGAGAAAAATACGTATTCCTGCGAACTGTTGTAAGCTATCACGTAATATATACTAGTCAACAAAAGTAACGATACACAAGTTTGAACTAAAATTTATCATAGAAATAATAAATAGGAAAAACTGTTAAATGATCCAATAAAAAACATTCATTTGCAAAGCAAATGTATATGATTAAAAGAATCTGACCAAATTGGAAAGTGAGAAAATACCGTGTTATTGAACACAGGGGTCAAATTTACTTTGAGGAAAATGATGACAAAAGTCGGCACTTAATTTCGAAGATGAGAATTAAGTATTCAAATATCTGCAAAGGCATTCAAAATTTTAAGCAGACCATGTTTAAGTTTTAAGTTCTAATATCGACTTTTGAATTTTTGGGTGAAAATACGATTTTTGAAATAAAAAAAATTGCAACCAAAAAAAATTGCGTATTTGCCTTAAATCAATGATTTTGATAAGAAAATAACACTCTGTAAATATTAGACCAATTGGGCAATTATTTACCTTCAAGTTGGTTTAGTGTATCCAATTTCATTATATATGGGAAATACACTGCCTTGTATCGTTTCTTTTGTTGACTAGTATATATCGCCAAACTTTAAAAGGCCATCAATTGGTCGATCTTAAAGCTGATATGAATATTTCCGAAACACGAAAAAGGTTTAAAAACTAGAAAATGAAAATGATCAAACGTAAATACAACGACATCCATTTTGAAATACATTAATCGATTTCTGTTTGTGAAAGTAGGTCTAGTCAAGAGTTTTTGTATAATGAACTTTACATACCAGTATTTCCTCCTGTTACAACTACTATTCTGTCCTTGCTGATTGGAATTCCTTGGAATGATATTTTGCCACCCATTGTTGTTTAATACTTAGTAAAACACACTCTTGTAAAAACGTTATCTGCATTGATATACACTATCTTATGATAAGTATGACCTTATGACATAATGGTTTAAAGGGTTTGATTAATAGCTTTGATATGTACTCGTTTCTGTTAATATTTGAAGATAAGTGCACACAATATTTATGACCTGACTCAAAAGGGTATTGTCATCGTTTCGATCAAAGAGAATAAAAATAATAGAGATATGATTACTATTACTTTTAGTGAATGTTTCGTTATGGTCACTTGACTCGTAAATACCATATAAGTCATATTATATATAGAAATGAAGGACCTCCACCCAGACCCTCATTTCTAAGTTCTTTAATTTTTTTGACCATTTTTCTCTATTCTTTATACTTTTTGCCCATTATTCTCTATTCTGTAAACCCCCATCCACACCCTCATATATATTGAGTTATAATTGTCTGTTTTATGTTTCATATAACCCGTCATAGTACAATTTTTGTTTTAAACTTTAGATACACAATTTCTAGGCTTCCGAATTCAAAAATATACTTACCTAAATGAACAATACTTTGGTTTGAGCATTAAGACTTTGTATCAATAAATCTTGAATTATTAAATTGAAAGAAAAATAAAATTAAAAAACCGAAAAGAAACAATTGTTTAGTCATATTACCAATATTTCTTCATTAGTTCGTTTAATAAAAAGCTGAAGCTTCAAAGTGGTATTTAAAGCATAAAAAAATTGGCAATCATTTATGATTTCATTATTCTTAATACCTGTTTGTTCTTTTTTTGTTGTTGTTTTATCTATTTTTCATTTTCTTCTTACAGCCATGTTGCCAAAAAATACTTAGTAAGAGTGAGTCCTCAATTAGACTGTTGGAATGTTTTTTTTTATATACGGCTTTTTGGAAACCTTTCCTCTGCGGTTTATTTTTTTTTTACCCTTCCACCTTTTTACACAGCTGGTTTACGTCCTACATGTTTTCCATTACAGAAGGATCTTACACACATATAATAAAAGAACATACTGAAAATATGTTTTCAGTGTTTTTAGTTTATAAAACCATTGATGGGTTACTTTAATACGAGCGGTCAATGCTACTATGACCGAGTGATTTCACCATAGTTCATCATATTAACATAATTGACTAAAAATATAAAGCAAAACAAATATAAAATAAAATTTCAAAGCTTCATTGAATAAACTTTAAAGATCACACAACGGGAATCAGTGTGTCATAACGACCTAGTATGTTTCCTATTTGACTTTGGCACCCTTTAAACCGGAATCATAATTTGTTGCTGCAGCTTTATGAACTTGTGATCATTAAATTAATGTGTCACATTCAGCGAATAGCCTTATAGAGATCATCTTAAAAAGATATTCACAATCATGCAGGGCTACTCAAACCATTACCTCCCTCAGTACTCGGAGTACAAAATTTGTGCTCGAAACACCAAATCCAGGATTTCGATTGGTTCATTCCCGAGTCTGAGTACGAAAATCGTGCTCGAAAGTTTTATGACCGCAAGGCCGGGACGCATAGAACGCTTCAATAGAACACTGACAGAATATTTTAGAAAAGAGATGTCAGTGGAAAAAGACTGACTGGCCTTCAAAATTGTCAGAATTTTATTACAACTACAACAACAGGGTACACAAATCTATGTCCTTTGTGGTTGTTGAATGTTGATGTCAAGGTACATAGTGGATTTTAAAAAAATACATAGATTCGAAACTTGAATAGTTTCCCCAAAACAAAAAAATTGTTTAATAAGATAGTGGCACAAAATGTCGTTGTTAAACACAATAAATTATACCATACACATTTTTATGTGGTATCTATACATTGAAACATTGAACAAAACGTTTGTAAATAGGTGTATGTGTTTATAGCTTACGATACAGAATAGGTTTAATTCATTGTTGAAGGCCGTACATGTATCTTTAGTTGCTTGTATACAGATGTCATTTTGTCTCAGGTTGTTTATTAACTTATATTTCGTATTTGTTATCAAGACGTAATGAGTAAAGGGAAGTAACGATAATTACTACAGAACAATTAATCACGGGATCAAGAAAAGCAAACAATTTGAAAATGTTGTAATTTGGATTTCAGTCTTTAATGATTAATGTAATGTAATGTTACGAGTCATTTATTCCTGGTGGTGTTAATTAAAGTACTGAAAATGAGACTATAGGCAAGAAGCAATGGTCTTCTTACATTAAATGCTTTAGAATTATCTGCTTGTGAAACAGCCACTATGTTCCGTCAGTTACTTTGTTCCGGCGGAACTTTTCAACTACATGTAGTTATTTCGTTCCGATGGAACTTTCCAACTAGTTGTTTTATTCCGAGTGCAGTCGAAAAGTTCCGGAAAAAAGGAGCTAGTTGAAAAGTCCCGGAACAATGTAGCTAGTTGAATAGTTCTGGCGGAACAGAACAACTAGTTACATCGTTCCGAATATACCATATTTCGTCCTTTTTGTAGAAAGAGGGGGAAGAATGAATATCAGTATATATAAGAGCAAATCATTAATTTACAAGAATACCCAACGCACTGAAAGGGGTTTCTTTGGGGACAAATATGCAAAATTTAAGTTGTATTTCATAGCTCACATAAAACGGAATAAGTTGCATTATCATGCAAATTTAGTATTCATAGTACCCGCAAGTGGTTCTTTGCATCAATTCTCCAAATGGAACTTTGTGACTGGTTGATAAGTTCCGTTGGAACTTTTGGGTTAGTTTGTTAGTTCCGGTTTTGACTAATTTGGCAAAAAGGAACTTTCTAACTAGTTGATATGTTCCGTTGGAACTTTTCAGCTAGTCACTTTGTTCCGGTGGAACTTTTAAACCAGAGGAAGAACAAAGTAGTTAATAAGTCTTCGGAACTTTTCGGCTAGTTAGTTCTTTCCGCCCGGAACTTTCCAACGTCGGAACAAAAGAGCATTTACACTTGTGTGTAGGCGAGTAGCAATGATCTTCTACATTAAATGCTTTAGAATTATCTGTTTGTGTGTAGACGAGTAGCAATGATCTTCTAACATGAAATGCTTTAGAATTATCTGTTTGTGTGTAGGCGAGTAGCATTGATATTCTAACATTAAATGCTTTAGAAATATCTGTTTGTGAGTAGACGAGTAGCAATGATCTTCTTACATTAAATGCTTTAGAATTATCTGTTTGTGTGTAGGCGAGTAGCAATGATCTTCTAACATTAAATGCTTTAGAATTGTGTGTATTACTTTGCTTATCCAGTAACCTTTGTGGTATCACAATAGCAATGGGGGGCCTCGGTGGCCGAGTGGTCTAAGTAGTTACTACTGTAATCACTAGCCAGTCAACACTGAGGTTGAGTATTCGAACCCCGCTCGTGCGGGTGCACTCGACTCCAATCTTTTTTTTTTTAATTTTTATTATTTTCAAGAATTACAACAAGTACAACACATCAAACATACATACAGTAATATTAGCAATACATTTGAATATCTATTTATTTATGACAATAAACATTGTTGAAAATTCAGTTTTATATTTATATGAAAAGTGAACATAAATACGGAAGAAAAGATAATTTGAGTTAAATGTTTATGTACCACTGTGTGGCACATGAGAAGGCTAAAGTATTTTATGAAAAAGGAAGAGGTTAAAATATCCTGTAAAATTTTCAGTACATAATAAGTTGTGCTATTAGATACAATAATATATTATGTTAGTTTTGGCAATAATTATCTGTAAATAATAAATGACAAATTGAATTATAAAAATAATTCTTTAAATGCATTCCACATGGTATCAAAGTGCTCTTGTCTCTTATTTTTGACTGCCATTATTTTTTCTAAATTGTACATATATTTTAGCTTTTCTTTAATGGCACTGAGTGAAAGATCTTTTAAAAAAACCTCTACTGTTGTATATATATTGTTTCATGTATAGAAAAATCAAATTATATGGGTCACCTTTTCGAACTTTTGATATATCTCCAAAAATAAAATTTAACTTATTCAATGGCAGGCTTACCCCACCAGATAAAAACCAACAATCAATATCTTGTAAAAAATTTTGGATAATCTCACAATTCCATAGAATATGTTCAACAGTTTCATCTTCTAATTCACAAAAAGTACATAGAGGGTTATCAATAAGTTTGATTTTACATAAAAATTTATTTGTGGCAAGAATTCTGTGGTTGATTCTGTACTGAAGCCACTGTAGTTTAGTATTGACAGTGACTGTAAAAGGTAGTTTGAATATATGTTTCCAAATGAAATCTTCGCCTAATATTTCACCCCACTTCAGTTGTCCTGTCGGAGTCACATTGTTACTAATGAGTATTTTGTACATATCTTTAGAACCTTTTCTACTTTTAAAAAAGACTTGTAAGCAAGCTGGAATAAACGGACAACATAACTTATATGAATCTTTTTTGTAATTATTTGCTGCTTTTTTGATAGCAGAAATAACACTCATGTAATTCAAAAAATTTACATTGATATCGTAACATTGCTGTAACAATTCTAATGAAATAAAAAATTCATTTTCATCTATTACATCATTTACATATTGTAAACCATGATTAAACCAATGTTGGTAAAAAACAGGTTTTTTACAAATTCTAATCATATTGTTAAACCAAATAAGACTTGATAAAAAATATTCATAGTCCATATTTCTTTCTTTATCAATTATCATTTCCCATGCTCTGAATACATCTTTCCAAAAACTGTATTTGATATATAAACTAACTTGTTTGATATACTGAACACCACAGTTAAAAAGTTTATTTCTATCAATATCAGACATCAGAATACTTTGCCACTTATTATCTCTCTGAAAAATCCTTCTTATCCATGATGATTTGAGTGCCATAGTAAAACTATAAAGATCTATCATTTTTAATCCTCCCTCCAAATATTCTTTAATCAATACGTCCTTCTTCACTCTATGTACAGGAGAGTTCCATACTAATGTATAAAAAATGTTATTAATTTTTTGGAATACTCTGTCTGAAGGATTAGGCAAAGAAATAATAAGGTGGGTTAAAATAGGTAAAACAAGAGTTTTTATCACAGTTATTCTACCTATTATTGTAAGGTTTCTTTTTGACCACTGTTTTATTATATTCTTAATCTGTATAATTTTATCATTATAGTTGATAT